TGAAAATTTTAAACTTTTTACCTGTAAATATTTTATCAAAACATTAAAAAAAATCTGTTTAAAAATGTGACGATTTTGAACGGATATCAACGATAAGGGGCAGGCCCCTATAATTAAGGGCCTGAGGGGGCCAAAGTTTTTTCCTTATATCTCAAAACGTATTGAAAATTTGTAATACGTCAAAGAAGCAAAGTTGTTTAAAATGTCAACTTAAATTGGGGGCATAAAAAAACGCTGGGGTGTACTTCTGGGAAACCGGAAATAGTCGGAAAATGCGTTTTTTGCCGTTCTTGAAAGTTTTTTGGGAACATATGACTCTGGGAGCATAAAAATTAATTTTCCGTCCGTCGTCGTCACTTCCGGTCAAACCGGAAATCCAAAAATTGATTTTTTTGGCATTGATAACATAGCCTTAGAGGATTCAAACCATTTTGGTGCGTTATTTCACTTTTTTTTAAAAATGAAAGCTATTCCGGGAAACAGGACGGAAGACCTACTGTTCTTTTCAACGAATTGGCTCTAGTTTTTTGTTATTTTTGGTTTTGTAATTTTTTTTTGTTTTTTTTTTTAAATTTTGTTTTCAAGGTTGCATAGGTGGGTCCCTAGGAGTTTAACAGTTGCTCCACCATGCTTCCAAAGTTGTCATCCGAATCCCGGGACCCTCCAAACTCGGGTCTTCGCCCCAGGGGATGATTGAAGATTAACTCATCATTTCTAGGGATTGGGGGCACGAAAGCCTCTCTTCCAGGATCCGGGCCGCACATAAGGTACAGGCTGGGCGCTGCAGGCAGAGCCCGCACACAAAGTTGTTAGGCTCACCTTCAGTTAAGCATAAACTGCATAAAATCGTTTGGATGGGACGGGAAGCCCCACTGGGGATTCGGACCTTCGTTCATGGCTCTGGCTGAGGGGGTTGGAGCAGCAGCAGACGGTGTGGACGACGGGGGTGGTGGGGGCGGCGATCTGGTGGGTGGTCGTGAGTCGTGGTGAACTCCTACTCCTTCTGTAGGGGTGAGCCCTCCTCTGTCGAAAATCAATCTGCATACTGCCCATGTTGAGATCCAACATAACTTCCGTAGTATCTGTTCGCCTGATCAATCTGTGACTCTCCACAAGGATGCCTGGAACATTTATCAATTGCTGGAAAAAAATTTGCCATGTCTTTCTCTTCTTACTTCTTTCTTCACTGCTGAAATCAACCACGAAGGAATGATGCTGAATACACCGGAGGGTCTGTACTTATAACCAATTGCAGACGATGACCAATATCGCGGCAAACATCGATTATCCATCATGTGATCTGAAAATCCTGACCTGTGATAGGCTATCACAAAAAAGTCGCTTTTGCAAAAAGCAAACGACAGTTTAATATAGCGGCAACATCGATAATCGATTCATGTGATTAAAAATCTTGACATGTGATAGGCTAACACAAAAAAATTGCTTTTGAAATTAGCGCCACCTAACGTGTAAAACAAGAAATCATGTAAATAATTGATAAACTTATGGATATTCAACATCTTTCAATTCTCCGTACACAATACAATATAAAATAAGATAACAGTTAAAACATCGAATACTATATATATTAAACAACTTTCAATCATTAATTTCAATCATACACAATGTTTTATCCAATTATAGACCACATCAAATCATCAACATTCGATGGTAAATTTATCGACTACATTAACAGTGACAAAGGGAAATTCAGGGAACCCGATCCCGAGTGTATATGACGTCATTCAATAACATAACACTGATGTAGTATTACATGATTTTTTATTTTATTTCTTAAAAACTAACAAAACAAAGCTTCTAACTAGAATTCTCCGACGAAATCGTATTCGATCCGCTACTAGGGTCATCCTGGGACTTCTCTCTTCAGGGGGGTAATTCGTAGATTTGATTGAGGCTGGTATTAAAAGTCAAGGATTTCCTAGCCTCTGTGAATTTTCAGGTATTTCATTCCGTATTGAATACATACTTTCTCCATCGCATCTATGTCCTGCCACAGTAAAATCACTTTGGCCGCTTGGGGATCGGTCAGGAAACTGTAAGGCTTTCCGAAATAACGGGTCAGGTTCAGTCCGTACCATTTCTGGGGCAGGAGTGGCTTCATATGTCGACATAGAACATGTATGGTAGCTAGTCTCCATGGTCGTCGCATGATGTGATAAGGTTAGACATTGTAACCATCAAATCCTGAGGGGTTTCCATGATAGTGGTCGCTTCCTGAAATACTTGTTCTGCCTCCGGGAAAGAGATTCTTGGTGGTTTTGTGCCCATCGTACTAAACAATCATACCCATTTAAAATCAGAGAGTGAGTGTGTATCAGGGATGACATGATAGTCGATTGTGAAGAAAGGATCAGACTTTTCTTCTCATTTATACCCTCCGTATAAAACTTAGGTTAAAGGTTTTTTTTTGTTTTTTAGGTCCCCCTTACAGGTGATGCAACAGGTATAAAAAAAAGATGATGCAACAGGTATAAAAAGATGATGCAACAGGTATAAAAGCCCAGGTATTTTTGCACACGGCACACAGCAGGTATATAAAGGGAGCTGGGATTTGAGGATCAGTCTTGCTTGACATTTCGAACTTGACAGACGTGAAAAAAATATTATGACAGAAGCAATGATGAATACCCCAGACAACCCCAGCTATGTGACACCTGAAGAATATGTAGGAGCCCCCTATAGTTTTCAAGAATATGCGAATAAAGAAGATATGGGAACTTGAATACAACTCTCGATGGAATTGTCAACATGCTGTCTGGTATTGACAACAAGATGAATGATATGAACAACAAGGTGAGTGATGTTGAAAATCAGCTGAATCATCTGAAAATTTACATCACCAAAATGAAAGGAGGAAGCACTTACCAGAAAAAGAAGGACAAAGGGGAATCGGGAGAGACTAAGAAAACCAGACAGACGGATCCATGCTACATCTGCAAAGAGTTAGGGCATTGGGCCCCAGATTGTCACCGAAAAAAAACAGGATTCGTGCTACAAGTGCGGGAAATCTGGTCATTGGGCTAATCAGTGTCAAGAGGATGAGGAGGATCAACAATTGGTCTAAGAAATACAAAAACTGGAGAAAAAGCCTCAGGAACCCAAGAGGAAACTACCCCTGATGACCGAAAAGGCCCAAAAGAAGAAAAAGTAAATGGTTGTATTTTTTTTCACTTGAATAAAATTACCTTGTTCTCATCTGTCTTGTGTGTTATTTGTTATTGTTTTTGAGGAAATCCAGTTTGAACTGGCTGGCTGGCTAGACCGTCTAGACTGTGAATGAAAGCGTGAGGTCATAATCTTGAGTCGTTGCCAAAATCGTAGTAGCAGCGTACCAATGTAAACATAGTGTAAACACACCCCCGTATTTAGGGCCGACTAAATGTAATGAATTGAACCACTTACCCCCCTACAGACCCCACTAATCTGCACTCCCTTGACCCAGCTATCCCCCAGGGGCTGCACTCCCTTGACCCGCCTATCCCCCACAGGGGCTGCACTCCCTTGACCCGCCTATCCCCCTCAGCCCGAACAAAAGTGCACTCAGTTGACCTGCCCGGCCAGACGCCTTATACTACTGGCATCGTGACCCCTGGCCTGCGACAACAAATCATCAAACCTGTGGTGTAATTTGTTTTGAATATCTATCAATTTATCCCCCCGCCACTGGTCGTTAAATTTCACCTTGAACGTCGTGTCGTGGGCCAAGTTTTTCTTAAATGTTCGAGATCTCTCTTCCAGATGTAATAAGGTTTCTCCAAAGGGTCCTCGGAATCAGAACCCTCTCCACCCCCTGACTGGGCACTCGTTGATGACTGGTCCTCATCGATGGAAAGCCTCGGTTTTTTGGCAGGAGATTCAATGGCAGGGAGAACCTCTTGCCATAAGTCGTCGATGTGTGTTTCCCACTCAAGTTCCTTTTCATGCTAGAGTTCTCTTAATCGGTTCTCGATTTCAGCGTCGCCAACAAGACCATTGGCTATTGCAAACAACTGTATGGTGTCTGGGTCTGTCAACGAGTCCAGGATTTCTTTGAGGAGACTGTTGCTTGCCATTTCTTAAAGAATAAAAAAATTCTTACACTAGACCAGTGCCAGTTAAAAAATACACTATATCAGTGTCAGTTAAAAAATTCTAACAGTATTACACAACTGTTTCATAGTTTACTTGAGAACAATTTGCAATTAAATGGTAAAATAACAGGAATGAATCCATCATCATATAACAAGAAAGCTGTGAAATAAATGTACTTTAATCCAGTAAAATCATACAATAAACACACACCATAATCAGGAAATATAAATGAAATAAAAAAAAAAAACAAAAACAAGGACAAAACTCAATATCAGTTACAATACTGAAGGCCTACCTGACCTGTTAAATCAAAAATCTAATCCTAAACAGGAATATCAAAACCTGTAAAATAAAATCACAGTCCATCTCTTGATTCAGAAAAATCACAGCCCATTTCTTGATTACAAAATCACCATCACAACTCTTGATTATAAAAACCTGTGTATGGAATATATAAATGTTCATACGTATTTTAACATGTCAAAACATCAACTAGGGAAAAAAAGTGATTTAAATAAAAATACATACACCTTGTATAATTGAATCAAAACACCCATTATTGATTTCACCACAGATTGTTGTGAACATTACCCATGTTCCCAATATACAAAAGTATGAATTGACATGTCCTTACATACCTTATATTTTTTTTTTAATTAGTTTTTAATAATAATGAAATGTACCATACATGGTTTAACACAAGTCTTGGAGTAATCCAATAGCAAAATGTTCTTGACAGTTAGTTAATAATCATTAACAAACTATTTATCTCTGTCCAAGTAAGCATTAAAAAATTGGACATTTATGTTTGTCCTTGAAAACTTGTTTCATAAGATAGTTTTTTTTTTAGCGTTTAGTTTTTTGAGGGTTTGGCTCCTCGTATGGGAGGAAACTGGAGAGTGTTAGTGTCAGGATTCTGTTGTTGTTGTTGTAGCTGGGGTTGCTGCAGTTGTTGTGGTTGGGGTTGCTGCAGTTGTTGTGGCTGGGGTTGCTGCAGTTGTGGTGGCTGGGGTTGCGCTTATCGTGGCTGGGGTTCTTGTCGTGACTGTGGAGGAAATGGTGTAATTGGGGTGGAAGTGGTGTATAATGAGGATGAAGTATTGGATAGTAGATGCATTTCATTTTGGTCGCTGATGTTCAACTCAGGACAACAGCGATTCAATAACTTGAACATCTTCCTTAAAGATGTAGATTAATACAGCACTTGTTACTGCAGTAGCCCAAATTAAGAATCCTATTTTTAAAAAATGAATAAATAAATAAATAAATAATCAAACCATGCTGATATCTAACATTAAACATCAAATACAGTTACATCCTCATCGTCATCAAATTCAGAATTTTTGTAAATAGGTTTAAGTTTATATGGCTTTACATGTTTTAGTTTTGAATTGTTATTCCTATTTCTATTGCAAGCATTAAAATATTTCCTATTAAATAATAATATTAATGTTAAACAACTAACAGTTAAAATTAAATAATTAATCATGTTAATACCAGTTGCTATGTCGCTAAGAACATCTGTTGGTGGCTTGCGTGTTCCCAAAGTTGAAGCTGGTGTCACTTTTGAAGTTCCCTTCATTACATGGGCAGACCTCATATTTTCCATCCTAAAAATAGTATGTGTAGATAACGTAGACCCCTCCAATTTGGTATTAGGGTTAGAGATCATGGTAATGTCTTCCACGTCAGTTACTGGTTTGGTTACCATCGCAGGTTTCCCCATCTTGGATAAATTGTCAGTGGACATGGGCAGGGTAACGTCTTTCACTTCAGTTACTGGTTTGGTTGCCATTGCAGGTTTCCCCATTTTAGATAAGTTGTCAGTGGACATGGGCAGGGTAACGTCTTTCACTTTAGTTACTGGTTTGGTTGCCATCGCAGGTTTCCCCATCTTGGATAAGTTGTCAGTGGACATGGGTATGGTAGTGCTCACTTGAGACATGTGATCTGTTGGTCATGTTAACGTCTTTCACTTCAGTTACTGGTTTGGTTGCCATCGCAGGTTTACCCATCTTAGATAAGTTGTCAGTGGACATGGGCAGGGTAACGTCTTTCAGGGGACAAGAGACCGATCAAGTTATTGACCGATGAAGTCGAGATATTCCCCTTCCGGAAAGACAATTAAGTATTTTTTCTCCGTCCTTGCAGACGGAGAAATTAAAACATTGTCAACTTTCAAGGAAAACATGGCAAGGAAACTGAAGATGAGTGCACAATTTAAAATTCTCAAGGCTGCATATTGGGAAATTTACGGATATGACTTTAAAAGTAACTCCATAGTATGTACTTTATTTATACCTTGTTGGACAATATCTATACATATCTTAAGTAATAAACAAAAACAAACACAAACAGCTGATATGAATTATAAATTGGCTTTATCACTATATAATTCAATTATAATAGATCATGGAAACCTCCTTTCAACTGAAGGAGGAAGAGAAGAAGAAGGAGAAGGAATTCTACAGCCCCCCAGAGAAATCCTTTAGTGCTGCCTTTAGCCTTGCTAACAATATTCGTTTTACAATGGGGCCTGTGGAGGTTTTAAAGGTATATACTTCCCCCCCCCCCCCCCTTAATAAAATCTGCAAAATTTAGATTTTTTTTCCAAGTGATTAAAATATTATTCAACAAGAGGCCCATGGGCCACATCGCTCACCTGAGCACTGTGGCTAGGAAAAAGTAGAAAATCATTTATTATTGAAAAGTTTAGGATTTCCTTTTCTTGAGAAGATAATCTTTAAAGAATTTTCTATACATATTTAAGTACAAATTTTGGTCAACCATTTTGGCCCCTCCCTACCCCTAGGGGTAATGATTTGCACAAACTTAAAATCTACAATACTGTGCTTTCATCAATATTCGTTGAACATCAATTTTCATGGAGTTCGTTAAGGAGCAGATCCAAGATTTCAAATACTCATTGAAACACGAAATATGACATTCATTTGTATTGGCAATGTATTTGTCAACGAAATAATGTATCCTCGAAAACGTCTGTTTTACAAAATCCACGAAAATTGATGCTAACGAAAATTGATGAAACCACAGTACCTGAGGATGTTTCCTTATAAATATCCCCTACCCCTGGGGGTCATGATTTAAACAAACTTGAATTTACACGTCCTGGGTATGCTTCTATATAAACATAACCAATTATGACTTAGTCATTCTAGAGAAGATTTTTCCTATATATTTCTATGTAAAACTTTGGTCGGCCATTTTAGCCCCACCCCCGGGGATCATGATTTGAACAAACTTGACTCTACACTACTGGAATGCTTCCATATAAATATGATCAATCATAGCTTTATTATTGTAGAGAAGAAAATTTTTTTTAAAAATTCCTATATACCGGTATTTCTATGTAAAAATTTGATCGGCCAGTGATCCCACCCTACCCCCTGGGGTCATGATTTGAATAAACTTCAATCTACATTACCTAAGGATGCTTCCCTATAAGTTTAATCTTTCCTGGCACAGTGGTTCTTGAGAAGAAAAATTTTTAAAGAATTCTCCTGTATATAACTATATTGTTATGTAAAACTTGAATCAGCCAGTGTGGCCTCACCCTACACCCAGGGGTCATGATTTGAACAAATTTGAATCTACACTACCCCAGGATGCTTCCCTATAAGTTTCATCTTTCCTGGCACAGTGGTTCTTGAGAAGAAGATTTTTAAAACATACCATCAAATTTTCACTATTTCTGAATTATATCCCCCTGGAATAAGTACGTGGCCCTTCATTTGAACAAACTTGAATCCCCTTCATGGCTTTGAAGTACTTGAGAAGACGATTTTAAAATATTTCCTTATCTAGTACTACTTAGAACTTTCTGTCCATCCTGTCCCCCCAATAGTTACTCTCTGGGGTCATGATTTGAACAAACTTGAATCTACACTACCTGAAGATGATTTCACATAAGTTTCATTTTTCCTTGCCTAGTGGTTCCTAAGAGAAAGATTCTTAAAGATTTTCATTATATACTCTTATGTTAAACTTTGATCAGAAACTTAAAACTACATTACTTAAAGATACATCCACATTAGTTTAATTTTTCCTGGCCCAGTGGACATAAAAAAATTTAAAAATTTTCCCTATATACTCCTATGTAAAACTTTCATCTGCCATTGTGGTCCGATCCTACCCCCCCCCCCCCCCCAGGGGGTCATGATTTGAACAAACTTTAATTTACACTACCTGAGGATGCTTCCACATGAACTTTATCTTTTCTACCCCAGTGGTTCTTGAGAAGATTTTTGAAAAATGCCATTAATTTTTCATAAATTCATATTATTTCCCCTTGAAAAAAGAGCTTGGCCCTTCATTTGAAAAACTTGAATCCCCTTCACTTAAGAATACTTCATGATAACTTTGGTTGAAATTGGCCCAGTGCTTCTTGAGAAAATAAAAATGTGAAAAGTTTACGATGACAACGACAACAAGGACAACAGAAAACAGACAAAATTTGATTAGAAAAGCTCACTTGAGCCTTCGGCTCAGGTGAGCTAAAAAGTCTTGCCAATAATTAAAGAGGGCCTCCTCCAATTTAACATCCTTGATACCCACCTGTAATATACATCTTTTTATTTATTTCAGATTGGAGAGATTTCAACGACTTCGCTTAACATCAGATGAGAAGTCCAACTGGGATTTGCTGGCCGCACAGCACTGTTAACCCTTTGGGGTGCAGTTGCAGAGCAACCACTTATAGCAGTTGGGCAGACTTACAAAGTCATGTGCATTAGAGCCACTAATGACTTTAACTGTCAAAGAAGTTATAATTCGACAATGTCGACAAAATTTGAGGTAATTCAAAATCAGACCTGCTTACCCTTTTCATTGGAAGGGTGTAATTTCGGTAAATTGTTGGTGTAATTTCAGAGGTAAAAGCGTAATCAATCACGTTTTACTACAATACTATATTTTCAAAAACAAATGAAATTGTACATTACTTAAAAAAGTTAGCATAAACTTTTCTTTTTCGAATCATCTATTGGCAAAAAAGTGTTGTAATATAATAGTTTTCTATATTAAACACAAATCAACCGCATAGTGATACCCTTATTGAAGTATTTGGTCAATTTGAATCAAATCAATTAATTGAAGGCTTGCGTTTGCATGTTTACACGCATCGTACATAATAACATTGTATTTTATATTTAAAACACTCACATATTTCTATCTTGTTTTAAGCAATTTTAAATAAACTAAATTGAGCATAGAAATGGCTGTACTTATTGCAATATGATTTGATAGTTAACGTAAGTAGTGCCTTCTATTGCTCTTCCGAATCTTCACCATACCAGTTTACATATAACTACTAGGTATACATGTATTACGTATGTTTTCGAACTGGTCCTCTATTAACTGCTTTTACTTGAACTTTTTATTTGATTTTAGCAGGTCGTACATTTGACTTTAAATTTAGACGATCATAATGGATTTTAAACCTAAATATCAAAATCGTTAAATTAATACAAGTGGCGTAATAGCGTAATTTTGTTGTAAAAAGCGGAAGAATTACGCCAAAAGCGGAAGGGTAGGCAGGTCTGCAAAATGATAATTTAAGAACATGTGTCACAGTGATTTTAATATCTGTACTTCATGCTTTAACTTTCTTAATTTTATGAAAAATATAGAGTAAATACTACATCTCCACAATGTATGATTCTACAACGTAAACTACAAATATCTTGAGGAAGAAATATTACATGTAAAATAATTTCATATTCATATGTACATTGTTGTTTATATAATTGCAGCCTGTAAGTGTAGAGGAAGAGGATGTGGAGGCATTATTGCATTTTGAAGGAGTTGTAAACTCTGTTTCTTTCGAAAGGTATTACTGATTAATATGATTCAACATTTTAAATGAAGATAGAGATGCATTGTCATTTTTGAATGTCTGTCTTTGGTTTTCTCTGACTTTTTGTGTGTATCAAACTTTAACCTTATGCATCATTTTTAGCCGGGCTTATTGCTCAGAGAGCAATTGCCGGCTTATGTGATCCTGTTCAAGGCAGGATGTTGACCCCATAGTCGCCATTTTAAAGTTACATGCAAAAATATAGTTCTTACTCTCAACCGCTTTTGAGATAATACAAACGCTAAATAAAGCAACAAAAATAAAACGAAGTTTTATCTATATAAAATAATCATTAGTAGTAATGACTTTGAAAATTTCATAAGTCAAAGAACATAGTTCATTAGCGTAAGGATTTTTGATAATCAGTGTTATCGTAGTTCTCTACACATACGAGGTAAAGCAGGAGAGGGAACCAGACTGGCCTGTTTGTTTACATTCAGCTGCGGTACCAGATTAATTTTGATTCTGACAAAATGGGACCGTGGTATTAGGATTGAAAAACTCACTGTCAGTGTCTTATCATTTATATTGATAGTTTTAAAATATTTTTTTCATCAGAATATAAACGTGATTCATGTAAGAAATCCATTCTACTCTGTAAATGAGCCCGGCTCTCTGTACTTCTGAGTACTTTGATTTTTTCAAGTTAATAACATTCAAAGTATACAATCTGATAGTTTACCTTTCAATAGGCCAGAATTTATCAAGATTTATTACCTGTCTGCAATACTGGAGGTCCAAATGCTCATATTCCTTCATTGTTCAACCAATTTTAAATTTTTATTGAAGAAGGAATCATTATTTTTCTGAAATATATAAATTTTTCGAAGCCTCCATTATTTAAAAAATTTGAAAAGATTTTAAACCAAGCATTTCTGTGTTTAATCCCCTTAAACTTGGCAAAACAAAGCCTGAAAGAGGGAAAATCTCATACTAAATTCTCCTCCTATAGATAGTTTTTGATTGACCTTAATTTAATAAGAGTTACTTACCGTTGGCCGCCATACTGGAGGTCTAAA